GGTTTTCTGGTGGTTTATTAGAGATAGGAGTCTCACAGTCTCTCCTGCCCGGGCTGGCTTTGAACCGCGATCCTCAGATCTCAGCCTCCTGAGTAGCTGGGGTGACAGGCGTGAGCCACCAGCGCCCGGCATTGTCCACATCTTTTTGGACTGTGAGCTTTTGCAGCTTTGGATGGGGCTGGTCGGCTGTCTCCACCCTGTTTCCCTGACTCAGGCTGGCACCAGTGCTTCTAATGAGCCCGGCCTCACGGGGGCTCCCCGGGGGCCCCGCAGATGCCCGGCCCTGCCGCTCCCTGGGGTGCTGCCTTCCAGGCAGTCGCGCGGCACTGGGATGGCTTGGGTTGGGGTCTCCCGTATTTCACCTCATGAGCCTCTCTGGCCATGGAGCTCCCTCTGTCTTCCTTGCTGGCCTGTGGAAGCAGCTTTCCGGGCTCCTTGATGTGTCCCTTGGGGTCTGTCCCTCTCTCCCCTCATCTGTGTACTTGAGCATCTGCCCCGGGCCCAGCTCCAGTGCAGCTTTTCCAGAGCCGCCTTCCTCTGGGCCAGCTCACCAGCCCTGACGCTGGCGGGTCTGTGCTGGTTCCCGGGCCGGGCCCTGAGCACCTCCCCACGATGGCAGGGGCCAGGGCCAGGCTGGCGGGGCTGGGTGTGCGGGAGCTGGCTGCGGGCTGTCTTTGGGCAGTGGGCGGTCCCGTCCCTTCTCGCCCTGCCACTTCTGTGCACCTTGTTTTGGGGCTCCTACGGTTTGCACTGGGCCTCGCTCTGGCCAGGCAGGTGGGCACTCTACTCCTGCGCCCCACCCAGCCCAAACTGCCTCACTGAACCATGTCCAGGGAGGACCTCGGGCCGGGGCGCGCTCAGTGGTGAGCATGCGCAAGGCCCACCTTTCCTGATCCTTGTGCCAGACTCCAGCGGGAGGAGGGCGTGTGCGTGGACATGCGTGCGCATGTGTGTACCTGGAGCTGTGGAGGGTTGCGGAAGCCATCTCATCCCATCGATTGTCCACCCATTGTTGGTGGACAGGTGTCTGTTCTGACCGTCGGGACTCCCGGCTGCCTGCCATGGGTGTTCAGGCTCCTTTCCCTCTCCTCCGGAGGCTACGGCTGTGAAGCGGCCAGAGCTCGCCATCTGAGCCTTTCCCTCGCGGCCCAGGGCTTGTTGCTACCTGGGGTGGCTTCTGCACGGAAGCCGCCACGCTGCTGGCTGCGACGGCCTCAGGGTCAGCATGAGGTTCAGAGATCGGTGCCCGGCCCCCGGTCCGGGGCCCCAGTGTGGGCCAAGCCGTGCCAGATGCTGCTGGAATCGAGGCCCGGGGCTGGTAGGATGGGAAGGCTGAGGATGCCGAAGACACGCAGCCTTCTTGGGGCTGAGCTGGCGTGCCCCAGCCCGTCCCCTCAGCGTGTCCGCAGGGGCATCAGGCTGCCTTCCCCACTGGGCATTGAGGCCCAGGGGCAGATTGAGTTGGCCTGCTCCAGCGCTGGTCCGGAGGGCCCGCTCAGCCCCCTCCTGTGAGGCTGTGGGGGTCGGTGTGAGGCCTGGGGGTCGGGCGTGGGTCGGGTGGGTCCCCTTAGCCCCCTCCTGTGAGGCTGTGGGGGTCGGTTTGAGGCCCTGGGGGTCGGCCTGAGGCCTGGGGGTCGGCGTGAGGCCTGGGGGTCGGGCGTGGGTCGGGTGGGTCCCCTTAGCCCCCTCCTGTGAGGCCACGGGGGTCGGTCCTGCCTGCTGTGTGGTTTGGTAGCGCCTGGGCTGGGGGCCAGAGCTCAGGCGGGGCCCAGAGCTCGGGCGGGGCCCGGCTGCCCTGCGCTCCCAGTGCTTCTGGGGTGGAGCATGGGGCTGGGGTTAAGGTTTTGAGTGGGGGGAGAGTGTGGAGCCTGGTGGGTCTGCTTGGTCCTCTTTTGTCACTGTGGAGTTGAAGCAAGTTACTGGGGTCGGGCAATGTGGACTGTTCTTTTTGAACCACATCTCCCCTTCCTCCTCTCTCCCAATTTTCCCCTCCCACCACCTGCCAGGTGGCAAGGTGTGCGGGCATCTTCCGCGGCACCTAGTGAGTTCCAGGGTGTGTTTGTTTGCCGCGTCCCCCCACCCCTGGGCCAGCATTGCTCCGTGTCTCGAGGGGCGTGTGGGTGAGGCGGGGATGGGAAGATGGTTGTGGAAGTCAGCTTCCTGCCTGCCAAGTGAACAGCCGTAATGGAGTGGATATTGTTCAAAAAGTTGAGCGCCGGGGCCTTTTGGGGTATGAGGTCCTTCTAGAAGGAGTCCCAGCTACCCTGTCATCCGTGCTGCGGGCGCTCCAGGTGCAGGCTGATGGCGCCGTCCGCCGGGCTCCATTGGCTCCTGTGTGTGGAGGTTGAGCTCAGTCACCCGACGGGAAGAGACCAGCCAGGCTTTGTGCTCCCCGTGCAGCTGCCCTGAAGCTGCCGCCTCCTCCCCTCGCTCCCCCAGCTCTGCCTCTTGCCCTCAGCCCCTATTTTCTTTCTGTGTTTGGTAGAGTCGTGGCCCCTGTGCCCTGGTCTGGCCTCAGTCTGAGCTCTGTGTGTGACGGGGCTACCATGGCGGCCAGCAGCTCCTCGGCGGGTTCAGTGGCTGAGGGGGAGTCCTGCGGTTGGCTTCAAACTCCAGTTCTCCTGATCTCTGTGGGTGTACGCCCCCGTGCCTGGGTCCTGAGTCCATGCCCTGCCTGGGTTCTTGGACCAGCTGTTGGAGTTGAAGCTAGGGTGCTTTGCACCTGCACGGTGGGGTGCTGGACCTGCCCGGCCTGTCCGCCGATACCTGCTAGGGCACCCTGTGCCCCCCCTCCCCCGGCCTGCTCAGGTGGTCCCAGGTGCTTGGACCTCTGCCCCTGTAAAGTGGGCTCCCTGCAGCCCCGCCCTGCCCCTGGGGGGCCATTCACCTGCAGCCTTTCCTTGCCTCTCCATGGAAGCCACAGGTCACATTTCCTTCCGCCCGCCGGGGGCGGGGCCGCCCTGAGCAGCATTCACCCCTCCCCCCAGGAGTCCCAGCATCCTGATTGGCGGGCGGCAGCCCGCGTCAGGGCCAGGGTGGAGCTGTGGAGCCGGAGGCAGCAGCCAGCTGGGACCTCTGCGCGCCGCGCGCCCTCTCCAGCTGTGCCTGTCCTTCCCGGGTGGGGGAGGGTGCTGCCTCCCTGCCGCAGGCTCCCGGCCGGAGGCTGGCAGCACTCCAGGCCGTCCCAGCACCTCACGGGAGGAGCAGCGGGGCGTCGGCCGCGGGGCCCTCGGCCGGAGGCTTGATTCCCCCCCCCCCCTGACCTAGGGGGCCAGGACAGGATGGGGGCCCCGTGCTTCCCAGGCCCCTCAGAGCCACCGTCCCATAGCCCAAGGTGCGGGGTTCAGGTTCCGATCTGTGGCGCAGAGCCAGCACTTGCCAGGCCGGAAGCCACACTGGCAGGATCCCCTCCCGGTTGGGGCTGGCCGAGGCGGAGAAAAGAAGCTGGGGGCTTCTGCGAGTCACAGACGGCCGGCGTCACAGTGGGTGGCTGTGTCCACCATGGCCATCGCTGCCCTGCCTGCCCACAGGCACTGGGGCCGGCCCCGAGAGCCGCCCAGCAGGGTTTCTTCTTGTCCTGGCTCCCTGTGGTCTCCTTAGGCTTGCCTGCCCCTGCTGCCCCGGCGCTGCTGGACCTGCCTGCCCCCACCCGAATGCCCCGGAGTGCTCTCCCCGGGGCGGGGCTCGTTCTGATGCTGGCGAGCCAGTCTCACAGCACTATGGTCTGGGCGTGTTGGGGGAGGATGGAGGCGGAGCTGCAGCGGGAGTGGGAGGCCAGGGGGTGCCTCTGGAGGGGAACACATGCACCCCAGGAGGTGTGGAGGCCCTGGAAGCTTGGGCCCCTTTCCCCCAGTCTTCACCTGCGGTTAGACCAGGCCGCTAGGTGGTGCTAAGGGAGCGGCCCGGCCCAGCGGCCTGCTTGCTACCTCCTGGGTGCCGGCCGCGGTCGCCCGTGGGGGTGTCCGGTGTGCATGCAGCACCCCTCCAGTTGGCGTGGCTCTCATCCCTTAAGCCCACAAAGGCTGAGCGGGTAGGCCCCCCGCGGCGGCTCCCACGGCTAGAGTGGGCCATTGGCCCCTTGCCGCCCAGCCCCCAGCCCAGGGGTGGCCTCGGGCGGACTTCCGCAGGGACAGGCTTTTGCCAGGGTGCTTGCCACTGAGGGACGGAGGCTCCGGGACGGTGGGTGCGTGGACATGCGACACGGGCGCCCAGGGCCCCGCCGCGTGGCACTGACTTGGTGGTGGGAAGTGCGTGGAGCTTTGGGGAGTCCGCAGCGGCAGGCGGCCCGCGTCTTCCTGGCGAAGTCCCCGGCTTTTCAAGGCCTTGACTTCTCCAAGTCCAGTCTCCCCCGCTCCGTGGGGGCCTCGCGGCCCGGGCTCCTTTAAGAGCCGGTGTCCTGAGCCCACTGTGGGATGCCCTGCGCTCCGCAGACAGACACGGACGTGGCTGTCCTCCCGTCTCCTGTCTCCGTGAGGGTTAACAACACTTCAGCTTGTTGTCTGGAACCGGTTCAGACTGGTTTTCTGGAAAGTGCTTTGTCTCTCCGACTGAATCCTGGGAAGGGTCATGTGGAGCCTAGTGATGTCATGGGATCAAAAACTGACTCAGCTGTTTTTCTTCCTTCTTTTTCTCTCTTCCTTAAATCAAGACGTGTGTGCCGCAGGTAGAGGGCGGCGGCTCCTGGCGCCCTGCCGCCCTCCAGGTGCCCATGGGGCCCTCCCTCCCTGCCCACGCAGGGCGACACGCAGGGCCCACCAAGTCACCGCACGGCCCGCGACGGCCCCCGCCCTCCCCGCACTTTCCCACATTCGCTTGCAGTCTGGAAAGCACAGAATCCCCTCCAGTGTTCTTGCCCTGCACCCAAGGGGCTGAACCCCCCGCGGCCCTGGACACCCCTCGGGGCCGCCTCCCTCCCGGCCCTGCCCCTGCGCGTGCCGTAAAGCGGGCGCATCGCCCCCTCCCCCGTGCCCGTTCCAATGTGTGCCCGCCCGCCCGCACAGCGCAGGATGACGGAGGAGGTGTGCCGGACCCGCAGCCAGAAGCGAGCCCTTGACCCCGACCCGGAGGGCGCTGATGTGGAGAGCAAGAAAATAAAGATGGAGAGGGGACCGTCGGCCTCCGCGCTGACCACGGATGGAGACGCCAGCGCCCCGCCAGAGCCGGGCCCTGGGCGGGCAGCCGAGGACGCCGCCGCGGGCAGAGGCGAAGGGCTGGCCGGGGACGGGCCCGTGGACATGCGCACCTCGCACAGGTGAGTGGACGTCGTCACGCGCCTGTCCCGAGCACCACACCCTCCACGGCCCGGGCCCCGGCCCTGGTCCCGTGGGTGCCCTGTGGGTGCCCTCTTCCTCTGGCCCCCACCCCTGGCTGTCAGTGTCCACCGCCTCGGAGCTGTGCCTGGCCAGCGTGGGGCTTTGGGGTTACTGGGTACCTCGAGGGTCGGGGCAAGGGGCCTGCCCTCCCCTGTGTGCCTGGCAGAGGTGGGGTGCGGGTGCTGTTCCCGCAGGACGCCCCGCTCTGATCCCAGTCCAGGCTGCGGAGCTCAGGATGGCGTGGTGTGTGCCTGCGTGGCGGGCCCGTCTGTGTGGGGAGAGGGGGGCACGCTTCGTGTTTCTAGCACCCACAGGAGGCCCTCTTCCTTCCAGCCCACAGCTGCCTTCCACGCTGGCGGCCTGGGGCTCCGCTCCTCCGTTGATTGTCGGGAACAGTGTCTGTGTACCTCAGGTGGGGCCCAGGCCGGGGACCCGTTGGGCCATTGGGCCGCCCTGGCCTGCATCTCTGGTGCCCGTGCTCCGTAGCGGGGTCCATGCAGAGGACCTCGGAACTGGGTTGCACCTGGGTCTGGGTCTGTGTTGCCGGGCACAAGGCTGCGACCCGGGACCGTGGCGCTGCTCACTGAGCCTGTCCACATGAGCTGTGGAGGACACAGGAAGCCCGAGCTATTGCTCCCCGGCCCCACAGGCCAGTGGGGCTTTGCCAACTGTCTCTGTCCCCTGCTAGGTCCAGGTTGTTATGGCCCTTGGGTTGATGGGCAGCTGTGAGCGTGTGCCCAGTGTCAGCCTGGGCACAGTGTGTGCCACGGGGGGGGGGTGCTGACAGTGTCAGTGGCGTGCTCCCTCAGTGCGGAGATGGAATGGAACAGGATGGCTCAGGAGTCGGTGTGGCCACCCGACCCCGGGGTCCCACACTGCGTTCTCTGTTTCCTGGGGAGGCGCCGGGGCGAGTAGTGCCCGGTCGCTGTCGGCACCAGGTGTCTCGGGTCACGGCTGCATGGGAGGCTGTGTACCCGGGCAGCCTCTGAAGTACCCCCCCAGCAGCTTCCCGGGATGCCCACTCATTACACAGTGATGCCCAGCTGCAGATTTAAGTCAGCCGAAGCGCTATTTTGATTGAATTCGGCGCTGGCACTGGAGCTTGAACTCAGGGCCTTACACTCCTGCTTGGCATTTTTGCTCAAGGCACTATAGTGAGCGCTTGAGCTGCAGCTCCCCTCTTAGGCACACTTTTTTTTTTTTTTTTTTAGTCTGTCATGGGGCTTGAACTCTGGGCCTGGGCACTGTCCCTGAGCTCTTCAGCTCAAGGAGGAGCGCTCTACCTCTTGAGCCACAGCGCCACTTCTGGCTTTCTAGTGGTTTATTGGAGATCAGAGTCTCATGGACTTTCCTGCACAGGCTGGCTTTGAACCGCGATCCTCAGATCTCAGCCTCCTGAGTAGCTGTGATGCCAGGCGGGAGCCACTGACGCCCGGCTTCCAGGCACACTTTTAAATTTTCATGAAGGTAATTTCATCCTTGCACTTGAACTTTTTTCTTCCTCCTCATTACTGGGGTTTGAACTCAGGACCATGTGCTTATTACTTGGCCGCCTCTCTTGGCTGGTGCTCTGCATGTGAGCTATGCCTCTATCCCAGCTTTTTACTGGTTCCTTGGAGATAGTCTCATGGTCTTAGCTGCTTCAGCTGGCTTCAAGCTGTGATCCTCCTGAGCAGCTGGGATCTCGGATCACGGTGTGAGCCACTGGCGGCATTTTTCTGTTGGGGTATTCTGAGACATTCGGCAGTGGGGGTGCTGCGGACATGTGGGGCGTTCCCTGCCAGCAGCGTCTGCGTGAGACCCGCACTGGGTTTGCTTCTCGCAGAGGCCCAGGACACAGTCCCCCAAACGCAAGCGCAGCCGTACTTGGTAGTTTCTGTTTGGCTCTTTTTCAAAACTACTTTTTCTTTGATGTTTCTTATTCCTGTCTATGACCCAGTTGGGGCATTTTGAAGGCCACGGTGATTCTGTGAAGAGAATTTCCTTTGATTTAAGATAGCGAGTAGTGAATTGAAATCCCCAAGAGATGTAGGTATTTGGGTGTTGGGGGGGCGCACGGAGAGGTAGAGGGTGCGCGTGTGTGTGCGCGCGCGCATGTGTGTGTGTGTGTTACAGAGAGGCAGAGAAGGTAAGGTTCTTGACCCTTTCTCTGATGCCTCTTCCTTCAGTTTTCTTCCGCTTGTTTTTTTTCCTTCTAACCTGTGTTTTATTTGAAATTAATTAGAATTGGCGGTTTTAATTGTGGTTAATAAGCGAGGAGATTGTCGTGTTTACTTCCCAGACTGCAGAGCAGAGCGAGGCAGGGGTGAGAGAATGGCTTGTGCGCCTGCAGAGCGCCAGGGACAGGCAGCCCTGAGGTGCGGGGTGCTGCAGAGCCTGCTGCTCTGCGTGAAGGGGCTCCTCCCAGCCCCCCGGAGGCCATGGCCACGCGCTTTTAGGGGGGGTGCCCAGGGGGTGCTCATTACAGTGCGGCAACACCCTGAACGTGGCCTTGTTGGTCAGCAGTGGTCGTGAGCTGGGCGTGGTAGAGGACGGCAGGTGCTGCCCAAGGCTCCGGTTCTGGTTTGGCCAACACAGATGTTCATTTAAGAAATAGTGGATGGGGCTGGGAAGGTGGCTCAGTGGTAGAGCACTAGCCTTGAGCTGAAGAGCTGAGGGACAGCGCCCAGGCCCAGAGTTCAGGCCCCACAACCGGACC